CCTGCACATTCTGGCATTTGTACACAGGCATAAAAATAATTATTGGATTAAATGATGCATTGCAAATTCCATTTTCTTGAGTTTAATGTAAAAAAGTATATTTAGCACCATTAAACATAATGATTTGCTGTGTAGTTAGGGCTCACCAAATAATAAACATCCTCTGAATGTGGGTAATCTATAACAACAAGGCATTGTTGTTGTTTTTTATATTCCATCCTGGTTCTTGGTCATCCCCTGAGATTATCAGTGAGTAGGAGGTCACCTGGTACTGGCTAAATTTAACAAGTATAATCAGTGTAAGTAAAAGAAACAGTAATATACATTAACTACAAAAAAAGTGTAAACAGTTTTTAGACTCTCCAGGGCTTTTGGATCATTTCTACCCCTGTCCTTTATTTCAGAGAATAACAGTAACAATAACAATAATACCCAAACATACATGGAATATACTGATACAGTTTAAAAAATCACACAGATTACTACCTTTTATTCAACACAAACTGATTCCTTCACTTTAGTATAATTTTTTCTTCCCCTTACTCCCCAGGAATTCCATAAATATAATCACAAAGCATTATAGAAATTTGCTAAACACTTTTATTGTATTTACTGAGAATATCACATTGTTCCACAGTAAAATGTTCTTATCCTCCAAATAATTACAAAGCTCTTTTCATTAAAAAGGTTTTGGTTCTCTGTATTAAATTGCACATTATAAAAAATCAATGATAAATTAAGCTCTTTAAAAAGAAACATTTTTTAAAAGGCACATACTAAAATACGGCATACTGATCAAATCCAACAATCATTTCGCACACTGATCTACATATAAACAACTATTGTGCCAAAAATGTGTAGGTAGTGAGAAGCAGAAATACACTGGTGTACAGCATGTCCTTGGAATAATTTGGTTTTGATGTCTAAGATAAAGCATGTTTTTCTAACATTGAAAATATGCAAAATAAGTTAAAAATTATTTTTAAGATAAACATTAAAATAAGTTGGCATGAAAAAGGTAATATTATACTAGGAGATACTTAAAATATCCAAGCTCTCCCTAAATAATACTGCAGGGTTCAGTCTGTGGTAGCTGTAACTCTCAGGCTAAAATAAACTGGCAGGAGACCAAACTGACAAAGGCAAATTTATCAAGCACTGTGCAATACCTGCCCAATCTTGCATTTCTCGAACCACAATATATTAACAGTTATATCAGAAGTTATTATTAAAGGGATAATCACTCTATTGTAAAGAAGCCCCCATTCTCCCTTCCACATATAATTCATGTTAACAGTAGAAGGGAGTTTCAATTAACAGAGAATTCAGTAAATTGTAGTACATTCTAAATGTCTGGTCTTCCTAATTAGGAAAATGATAGTATCATTTTCCAATTTATATTTATCAAATACTCATAACAGAGTTAAAGTCCATAAAAGGCAGCAAGATTAAATAAAAACTTGTGGTCTCCACTTCATCTGAATCCTACTTACAGGTACATTAGTACTCAGAAATCCACATGGAATTTTGGGTGGAATTTTAGGTATCACACAGCCACAACCATGATGCTAACAGCCCTTGATAAATCAGAGGCCTGAGATTTGCTGACCCTGACTCAGACATAGTCCTTACTAATTTAAGTCTTTAGATTAAATCTGAAAGATCAATGATACTTTCAGAGTGACTTTTTTAAAATGTAACTCATTGTCCAAGTTTTAAGATTGACAACCCTCAGAACTCTGATTTTAGCCTAAAAATATCTACTTAAACAAGCACAATAGAAAGTTTTTTGTATATATATAACTGTATAAAATATATATACTTTTTTTTTGTTGTTAACATACCCTCAGAGTTACAGAATACTTTGAGGAATTAACTTTGTGCTAGAAACATTGACCAGAGATGTTTGTGGGCTATCTTTAGCATTAGTTTTCATTTGGTGATCATTTTCTTATAAGTTTCATAATTTAAAACCTTATGTATTTACAAAAATTAGACACCTCTAAGTAAAAATTTGAACTCAATAATTGCTTTAAAGATAAATGAGTTTTTTTCCTCAGAGGTATATATAAATTGCAACATACATAACACTGCTGGATTTACAAATTTCCTATTGTGTTATATATACTTTAAAAGAATAATTTTGAAAGAAACATGAAATTTAGCACCAATCTTGATCAATCTTGCTTTGGTAGGGGGAAAAAAAGGCACCAAATACACAGTCTGTTCATAGCCTGGGGTCAAAATATAGCACTCTTGATAACCGGCCCTTGGTCCCTGAAATAATATGCCAATATAGGCTGAACTATGAAAGATATATTTACCTATTACTTTCTCACAATTAGAACACTGTAGGAGACTACAGTGAGGGAAGATCACAGCAGAAAAGGTTTATGTTTACACACATTTAAAATATTTTAAAAATCCATCCTTTTAATAACTGACAGATCCTGAAAACTATTATCTGGTAAAGAATAAAAGTCATACATGGTGGGGCAAAAGTAGGTTTACAGTTGTGAGTACATGAAAGTTTATTCTTGCATTATTATTTATTAATTATTGTATTAATTTTTATATGAATAACTGCAAACCTACTTTTGCCCCACCCTGTATATCATAGGCTCCAAAACAGTATCACATATCTATTTTAATTTCTTACTGTTATTTTATATAGATAGTTCCTGTCACTTACATACTTAGTGACATTCAATTCCAAAATACTCTTCTTACAGAACCCATACTGAAAGGCTAGAAACATCATTAATTAAATAGGGAACCTGTGGGTTAACTTCTACACTACATAGACAACAACAGCCATTTTCAAAAACTCCAGTGAGACAAAAAGCATTACCAATAGGAAAGGGAGCCTTTTACAGAAGTTCAACATGTAAGCTGTAAGGTCAAGGCACAAACAAGCACACAATCTACTGTCAGTGATCATCTCTCCGCCAAAGAAAACAAATGAAAACAAGACCCCATCGTCGCCCTGGCCAGTTTGGCTCAGCGGTTAGAGTGTCGGCCTGCGGTCCGGAGAGACCCGGGTTCGGTTCCCGCTAAGGGCACGTACTTCGGTTGCAGTTTGTCCCCGGCCCTGGTTGGTCGTGCGGGTGGCAGCCACTCGATGTGTCCCTTCACGTCAATGTTTCTCTCTCTCTCCCCCTTCCTCTCTCTCCCTCCCACTCTATCTGTACAAAAAAATGGAAAAATGTCCTCGGGTGAGGATAAAAAAAAAAAAAAAGACCTCATCGTCAAGCTGCCAGCACAATTTGAAAAGCCACTGCAAATGCATTTTAGTAAGTATTCATTATTATACATACATTATATATTCAGTTTTTCCTTTGTTACATTATCCACAGGCCACCTTAGTTTATATTTCTTTTATATCCATTTATCAGAACAAAGCACTTAAGAAATTTTACTATTTTGACCCCCTTAACAACTGCACTCTCTTGCCTTTTAATCCCAGAATCACCATTAACTTCCTTCTGATTAAGCAAGAATTAAGCAAGGCCTTTAGTTGGACACTGAAAGCTGAGGTAGGTGGACTGTCATGGTCAAGTGAGCGTCATGGTCAAGTACTTAGAAAGGTTTAGTTTTATGCCCAATGTCTTTCCAACATACAATAAAAAATCGAAATCTTCTGTGTCATAAATGAGGTAGTCCTATATTATATCTGTCTTGAAAATAATACCACAGGGGATTTCTGTGAATGCGTAGAGGTCAAGATGATTAATGTTCACTACTTAAAAATTCATAATTAAAAAAAGGGCAAGCTAAGTAAACTGCTACGTAAAGTAAACTACTGTGTCCCAAATTTCAAAGTTTTTTGAGTAAGTCAAAGATGTGGCGATGATTGTTTCTTGGGTCTTTATTGTCTCAGAAGGAGTCATCTGATCAAGTCCACATTTATGATAGTTCAGTAACTGTGGTTCTAAGTTGTATTCAGGTTTCACATTTAGCTATGGGTATTTGGCCCTTTATTCTTGAGAATTGTAACCTATCACTCGTTAGTGTAATTATAAAGCAAAACATTAGTCTCTGCCAACAAATAAAATGATACACATGGCTGTGGCTATGAAATAATAGTGAGCCCAGGAGCGGCCTGTTGTTGCTGTTCACCTTTGATTCTTTGCCCCTGAACCATTCTCAAACTCCCTCTGGATGGTCTTTATTTCCCTTTTACCAAATCACCAACAAAAATCAATGAGTATAATATGAGCAGAATTAATGATTAGCAGTAAAGCAGCAGGACTTCCTTCTATGGATTACCACATCACTATTATGAATGGCAACTTGTTCTTTTGTTTTAATAACAAAGCGAAGGTTTGAGTTTTTTTAAGAGTTAATTAAACTATATGGATGATGCATTTTTCTATTAGCCAAGACAACACTTGTCTTTCAAATGTAAAAATAACATGGATGTAAAAAGACAATAATAAAGCTCACTTCCTCTTACTTTCACATATTGGAAAAAAGGAACAATCTTTAACCTAACACAGAAATTGCTCCTTAAGCCCTGGCTGGTTTGGCTCAGCGGTTGGAGCGTAGGCCTGCGGTACAGAGAGACCCGGGTTCGGTTCCCGCTAGGGGCATGTATCTCGGTTGCAGTTTGTCCCCGGCCCTGGTTGGTCGCGCGGGTGGCAGCCACTCGATGTGTCCCTTCACGTCGATGTTTCTCCGGACCACAGGCCAATGCTCTAACCGCTGAGCCAAACTGGCCAGGGCACGTCGATGTTTCTCTCTCCTCTCTCTTCCTCTCTCTCCCTCCCGCTCTATCTGAACAAAAAATGGAAAAAAATGTCCTTGGGTGAGGATAAAAAAAAAAAAAAAAAAAAAGAAAAGAAATTGCTCCTTAATATTTATGCCAGCAACAATAAAGTTTCAGTGTTCAACATTTCCTAAAGAGTTTAAATACATTTTAAATACTTATTTAAATTGTTTACATATTTAAAAAACAGAGCTAATTAGCTTATACTTTCCACTTGTACCTCTAAACTCACCAAGTGTGACCCAGCCTGAGGCAGGTTCTTGCGGAACTGCATCCTAGAGGCTGGCTCACTACATTCCAAGGCATCCTCCATGAAGTGCTCTAAGGACTAAGATTTAGCAAAACTTCAAAGGAGTAGAAAATCAAAGTAAAAAATTGTGCCCTCCAAAAAATATTATGCTAAGAACTTGACAGTATTTACTCTCAAAGCATTTACCTTAAATACGCAAATAAAGTGTTATATGTTAGCACAAAATATGCCAATTATATGAAACTTATTTCTTCCCCCCAAAATTTTAATCACATACTTTTTAAAAAGTTCAATGTAGGGCATTAGAACTCTAAGTTGAAGGCTGAGAGCAAACCATTCTCCAGGTTACACAAATTGAATGGGGTTCCAGCCTCTGAAACCATGGGACCAGTACGTAGTGCAGGTCAACAGCCAGTAGAATTAAGCAAGGATGTTAATGGACTCCTCAGCAGATATTTTGGAAGATAGGAGGATATAAAATGGACAAAGAATGATAAGGATAAAGATAATATGAAAAAGGTACAGATATGTTTACTTGACAACTAAGTATGCATTTACTTTAAACGTGTGAGAAGCTGAAGCTAATAGCATTAAAGTTTTCTCCATATTTGAGCAGAGCCCAGGTGAGTGTCTGCAAATATGTATAAACAGATAATATATGGATAGTGAAATGCAAACGAGGTCTTGTTTCTATTTATGAATAGAAATGGAAGCTTAATACAATCATTATGCAATTTTCAATGGACATTACAAGTCTTATAGGTTTATTGACTAAGCGTTGCAGCTGTGATCAAAGAGATTTATAAATTTAAATAAAGTATCAATAACCTGTGTGGTTTACTACTAAAATGGACAGAGCCCAAGAATATCCACTGCAAAACGTTTCTGGAAGATCTTTGGGCATCTGTTACCTGTGTATCTGACCCAGTTTCTGTAAAGAGGAATACTACTTGCTCCCCTTCCATTACTGTTGGCCTCAAGAATCTTTGGAATGTGAGAACTGGCTGAGTCCTATCAGAATTAGGATGATGAGCTAGAAAGTAGAGTTCTCTCTATTATTTTCCTCTCAAAAAAGTGTCTGAATTGAACAAAAAAATATAGGCCCATCAGGTCACTTTACTGCAAAGTAACACTGTTGAGAAATGAGAAAGGATTTACTTTGACGGAAAGATTAAAGTCATATTTCTTGTTCTGAAACATGTATCTTTATGGATATTAGTCTTTTTAATTGTTTTAGTTTGTAGAAATTTTAGAATTTAGGCTTTTAGAACAACATATTACTAAATATGCATTTTATGGAACTTAGCACCTTACCTTTTATACTTTTTCTTTTAAGCTTTATATTATTACAGCATAGTACTCTATTGTGGTGGAGCTTTCTTGGTGTTACAGATCCTGTTTGACTCATTCCATTAGACTGAAAAATACATAAGTGTAACATTATAGGTGTAATATTCTGGGATCTAAGTTTTATTATACATACTTAATTCACTTTGCTCTTTTATTATGAAAATTAACAAAGCAAGATCATGTCTTTGGTTTCAGATTATTATCTTTAAACCCCCCCACCCCCCCACCACCAAATCAGCCAATTTTGAAAGGAAAAGTACTTTGGAGGTCTTTACAGAGTAAATATTCTATTTTAGAATTATTCTTTCTGTAAAATTGGGGGTGGGGGAGTCTTAGGAGTCTTGCAAAAACTGTAAAAATAAATTTTATAATGGCAGGGTTGATAATCGGTCTTAGTTGTATGTTTTTGCTGATCTCAAAAGCACTGATAATAATGAAAAAATGATGTTTTTATAACTGGGCATGAATAAATAAAAAAACTGATAAGGTATAATATCATTTCTAAGTCATTTTCTAAAAGTTTAAAATAAAAACATAAAAAGAGGGTGTTCAAATGGAGGGTTTTTGATATATAGATATATATATCAACAGAACCTTCCAAAAAACAAATTACAATAAAAATTATTTAAATCCTATTAAAAATAGATTCCACATTAGTTTTTATATACTTTGAACTTCCAAGGTTGCAGATAAGAAGTTAATGCTGAAAGGAAAAGTTACTGGGTTTTCTATCTGTTTAATCAGCTGTCTCACTTGCCTCCAGCTTCCTGTGTGCCACACCTCCCTACACCCCGTCACTATAAATCCATATGCGTTCCAGGCATCTCCATCCTTAGCTGGAGACAAGTAATGGAAGTATTCTGCCTTTCAGAAACAATAGTTGCTGAAAAGTAAGTAGGGAGATAACCGAATAACTTTCTCTCCTTACAAAGAATTTAGAAACAGGTGGATCCTGGAGGCACTTTAGAAAAAGACAACATTCGCCCTGGCCAGGTGGCTCAGTTGGTTAGAGCATCATCCTGATATGCCAGGGTTGTTGGTTCAATCCCCAATCAGGGCACATATAAGAACCAACTAATGAATGCATATAAATAAGTCAAAAACAAAGTGATGTCTCTGTGAACAAGCTACATTTGAGAAGATCTAATATACATCTATATTTAAGATTTAAATATACTTTGCATATTATTAACGTTTAAAGACCTAAATAAGAAACAAAAATGTATCAAGTATAATTTCAGGGATGAAAAAAGTGTTCCAAATTTTTGTAAATGAGTATGGGTCATGACATGACTTTAGTTTTAATTTTAGGTCCCTAAAACTCTAATAGCTTGCTTACAATGGTCTGTGTATAAATTAAAAAAGTACTGGCAATGCTAATAGGGAATACACTAGAAAAAAATACATACGAGTGCAAATTTCTGCCAGAAAGTTTTGGAAATGTAGGAATTGTTTCTCTTTATAAATGCCTTTAAACTTTCAAGACCCATTAATTTCATAAACCAATTTGAGCAACTGTGTCTATCAGAAATAGATATTTTCTTCACAAACACAAAAATTAATTTTTTCCCATTGTGTCTGAAACTGCAGCCTGACAACATGCTGAATGAGGCTTTGTTTAAATTTCAGGTCCTAGTGCTAACATATTCAGAAGTCAGAAAAATTCTGTTAAAACTGTCAGAGTATTTTTCATTCATTCTATTTAACTTTATTGTTACAATTTAAACAAATTCAGAAATTTAGGGCATTTGTGGCGACTCAAGTAAAACACACTGCAAAGCCAAAGGGAATAAATGTAAATGGAAGAAATGCCTGATTTTTGAACTGCGCTGCCCTTATGAACACGATCCTTTTCATCTCACATATTCATTTTGAACGCACTGTTAGCATCTGCTCCAAGAAATCCCTGACAATAGAGCATGTCAGAACACCTTCATTTCAAAGTCTATTTAACAGCAGGCAGGCAGGGAACTTCAACACAGACTTAAGGTTTAGGTAGATCTCACATTATCTAGAATCCAGGCTTAAATTTTGTAAACAGTTTCCAAATAGCAGAAGAAATTAAAATAGAGATAGATACCAGAACTAAAAACAGCATGAGACAACAAACAATATTCCCAGTTCTAACCAAACTACAACCTTTTCAGTATGGCTTGAGGTATTAAATATTTGTAGAAGCTAAATAGCATTCACAGTTTCCAAAGTTACTTTTTACTGAGACAGGTTCAAATTCTCATATTTGACTTTCAGACATGTTTTCATGGACCAGAGTATCTGTCCTCAGACTCATGTAAATATCAGACAGCTATTCAGTGGCAGAAAAGGGTTCTTGTAGTAGTAAGTGTTCTATTTTCCATTATTATGCTATTGTTAGGATGTGATTAAAAAAATAAGAAATTTGCAATTCATATAAAAGGAAAACTTGCTTAAACTTCTAAAAGCAAGTCCAGTCTGGTGAAGGTATATAAGACATTAAATAACAGAGTCAGATTCTTTCTTAAAGATTCCAGATGAACTTGACAGCAGAGAGTTCTGGTTTTCCAGCATTTTCTCCATCTTTTCTTCTCCAGTAGTTTTATTGGTCTTTCTTTGCTTCTTACTATGGATCCAGGGAATAAAACAAAGGACAGCACCTCCAATAAGGGGAGGGATTCCAGCGAGGTAGAATGCCACATTATAGGAACCCAGCTTGTCACGAAGTAACCCTGGGAAGGGAAAAAACTGTCACCAAGAGAGAACAAGTGTGGCTCTTCGGGGGTCTCAGATCAGTCACACTGATGGCTTGCCTAGTTCCAACCGAATAACTTCATCTCAGCAGAACTAGTTCAAACATCTCAGATTATTAAACATTTTTTTTAGAAAATGTGTCTGAAATAGCCCTGGCCGGTTTCTCAGTGGTTAGAGCATCAGCCCTCGGACCAATAAGCTGTGGGTTTGATTCTGGTCAAGGGCACATCCCTCGGTTGCAGTTGGTCCCTGGCCCTGGTCAGGTCACGCAGGAGGCAACCAGTCGATGTGTCCATCTCACATCTATGTCTCTGTCTTTCTGTCTCTCTCTCCCTCCCTTCCTCCCACTCTGTCTGTGATAAAATGGAAAAATATCCTCAGGTGAGGATTAAAAAAAGAAAATGTGCCCTGGCCAGTTTGGCTCAGCGGTTAGAGCATCAGCCCACGCCGGGTTCAGTTCCTGCTAAGGACACGTACCTCAGTTGCAGTTCATCCCCGGTCATGTGGGTGGCAACCAGTTGATGTGCCTCTCTCACATCAGTGTTTCTCTCTCTCTCTCCCTGCCTCTCTCCCTCCCACTCTATCTGAAGATAAATGCAAAAATGTCCTCCGGTGAGGATAAAAAAAAAGAAAGAAAATGTGTCTGAAATATAAGCCTTTTCTAATATGAGGGAGGAAAAGACCTCATATCTTTAATATTGTCACAGACTGCAAGCCTCTGGGTTTTTATACCAAGATATTACATGGAAAACATATTACAACCTAACTTTGGCTTTCTCAAAACCCTTCAGAGGTCTTTTGGGGCATTCTGACACATGATGTAACGGTGGACAGACCACCAAGCTGAAACTTCTCACACACTTCAAAATATCTACATTTCAAGCCTCTCTTGGGCCTACTTGTTTATAAAATAACATTAAACTATTTAAAATTATAATTCAAAATCATGAAAAATTATAAATCTAAGTTAGGAAGAAAAATGCTATTAAATACATTTTGTAAAGATGACTAAGGTTTGTCAGCACATGAGAGGAAAATATGAGAATCTATGTGTGGCAGTCTAATAGATCCTTGGGTTCTGCTTCTGAAAAATGTTATTTAGCATACTCCTTGTATCTAATTTTCTAATACAATCCAAATTTTAATTAGTTATCTTAGTGTATTTATTTATTTATTTATTTATTTATTTATGGTACGTGCCCCTAGCGGAAACCAAACCCAGGACTCTCTGGTCCACAGGCCGATGCTCCAACCACTGAGCCCAACCAGCCAGGGCGTGTTTTTATTTTTTTAATATTATTTTATTGATTTTTTTTTTTTTAGAGAGAGGAAGGGAGATAGAAACATTGATGTGAGACAGAAACATCGATTGGCTGCCTCCTGCACGCCCCCTATTGGGGATCGAGCCGGCAACCCGAGCATGTGCCCTGACTGGGAATCGAACCAGGACCTCTCAGTCCATGGGATGATGCTCAATCCACTAAGCCACACCAGCTGGGCAGTTATCTTAGTGTTTTTAGACTTTTTAAACTTTTACTATACAACGTCAGTTATCTGAAATATTTAGGGAGCACAATGTACTAAATATCTGACTGCTGAGGATTGTCCTGTTAAGTACCAACACATTTAAAAAAGTGTACATTCGCCCTGGCCAGTTTGGCTCAGCAGTTAGAGTGCCAGGCTGTGGACCAATGAGTCACAGGTTCAATTCCAGTCAGTTTGTCCCTGGCCTGGTTGAGTCATGCAGGAGGCAACCAGTCAATGTCTTTCTCACGTCAATGTTTCTCTCTGTTTTGTTCTCTCTCCCTCCCACCCCCTCTATCTGATGATAAATGGAAAAATATCCTCAGGTTGAGGATTAAAAAAAAAGTATACATTCCTTCTGGATGGAAACCCAAAATATAGAATATATCTAAATATGTGATATTCCTATCTTCTGAATCAGAATATTTCATATATAATGAACCATTCATCCTTATGAATACTAATTATTTTGTTTGGCTATAACACTGAGATCCCTCAAAACCTCCTGGTGAGTGAGAGGCTTTCTACTGCCAGTTGCTGTGTTGCTCTGCCTGCTCTGGAAGTTTCCTGTTACCTCCTTTATTCTTGGTCTGTTATCAGTTACTGCTAGTAGCAAACACCATTCCTACTAAAGTGCTGCTTGTCATCTACTGTGGACTTGGAAACCCTAAAAAAATGAAGTTTGTATGATATAAAAAGTGTGGCCAGTGGGGGAGAGGGGAAGGACTGGAAAGTTCTTCAGGGAAACTGTGGCCTCTAGAACTTAAATTTTATTTGGTCTGCACAGTGGTGACTTTTCTTGCTTGATTCATGACTAGGTTCCCAATGGCAAAGTTGCTAGATACATGTGGTTCTGGATATAAGAATAAATTGAGCTGAACTTTGAGCCCTTCAGGTGCCAGACACAGATGATAGTACACACATATAAATTTTATCAAATCTTCTCATCATAATAATTCACATTGGCACCCAAGTAATACTGAACATAAGACATCTTTATACTATCATTCAGAAGATTTCTAAAGGTGAAATTCACATAACATAAAATTAACCATTTTAGTGGCGTTTAGTACTCTTGTTTAGTTCTGAAAGGTCTTCCATCACACCAGAACAAAACTCCATTCCCATTAAGCAGTTACTCCTTAATCCCCTTCCCTCCAGCCCCTGGCAAGCACAAATCTACTCTCTGCCTCTATGGATTTACCTCTACTGGATATTTGACATAAATGGAATCATGCAATATGTGACAATTTGTATGTGGCTTTTTGTAGCATGCAAAAACAAAAGACCGGTAGCTAATAAATTATATATTTATACACAAATGAGACTTAGGACCTGTAGTAAAAATGCTATGAATTCTATAATTACTGGAGAATAGTTACATTTACCTGCAATGGGTGGGCCCATAGTCATGGGTATAGACATGAATCCGAGCAGAAATCCAATTGCTTGGGAAACATCCAGGGCACCAACTAACTCAAAGGCAATGGGGGCCATAATTGAAATGAAGCATCCATCGAAGAGGCCCATGATGAGACAGACAGCTATGAGGGCCCCAAAGGCATTACACAGGGGGATCATCATGGACATCAGACCAATGAAGGCAAAGGAGAGTACCTAGAACAGACAACACATGTCAACTCTGATTTCAGGAAAAGTGAATGTTACAATCACTGAGCAACATGTTTAGAACTTTCAAGTAGTTATAGGTTAGTCGCCTCTTTGGCCACATTCACCTTGATTTTATATACATAATCAACTTCTATAATCATCTCCACTGAGTTCCTTCAGCACTTTCTCAGTATTTTCATTATGGCAGCGATTTTCTACCCTTTTCATCTCATGGCACACATAAACTAATTACTAAAATTTTGTGGTACACCAAAAAAATATATTTTTTGCTGATCTGACAAAAATTGGTACACTTTTGAGTCATTCACACTGGACACCTACTGTGTTGGCTGTTGTCATTTTATTATTTGACAATCTAAGGGAAAAGAGGTCAGTGCTCCTGACTGAATAGTCAGGTACTGCATGTTTTAAAAATTCTTGTGGCACACCAGTTGAAAATTGCTGCATTCAGGGACAAGAAGAAAATAACAATTTTTATATATTTACTTTCCCTTCTAGACTGTAAGCTCTCTGAGGTCAGAATCTGTACAAGTCACCTTTGAATTAGACATTTATAAGGTTTAAAGATCTTGCACCTGGTCAGTGCTCAAGAAATACTAGTTCTCTGAATATCAGCTCAAATTCATTCATCAAACATTTGATTCTTAGCCCTGGCTGGGTAGCTTAGGCAGTTAGAGTGCTGTCCTGATATGCCAAGATTGCAGGAGCAATCCTCGGTCAGGGCACACACATGAAGTCAACCAATAACTGTATAAATAAGTAGAACAACAAATTGATCTCTCTCTCTCTCTCTCAAAAAATCAATAAAATAAAATTTTTATTTTAGATTTTACCTTTGAAATTATATACACTTTATTGGTATCAGTCCTCTCAAAATGAAAGTAGACCAACAAGATCAGTTCGTTTGTATTTTCAACTTCTTTTTCTTTATTGATTTTAGAGACAGAGGAAGGGAGGGAGAGGGAGAGAGAGACAGAAACATCGACTGGCCACCTCCTGCATGCCCCTCACTGGGAATCTGGCCCATAACCTAACTGCCCATAACCTAACTGGCCCATAATCAAACCGGCGACTTCTCGGTACATGGGTCCATGCTCAACCTCTGAGCCACACTGGCTGGGCAGTATCAGTTGTTTACATCCTAGAGCTTTCAGTTTTGGAAATATGGTGATGTAAGGTTTAGATATTTAAATAATCAATACAGAACGCACTGCTGCTGATATTCCAGACATGATGAGTATATTCAGACCTAATGAGAGAGATTAGAATAAGTGACTATGGCCCTGGCTGGTGTGGTTCAGTGTTAGAGCATCTGTCCTCAAGGGTTCAATTCCCAGTCAAGGGCACATACTTGGGTTGCAAGTTTCATCCCAGTTCCCCAACAAGGCACATATGGGAAGCAACCAATCGATGTGTTTCTCTCACATTGATGTTTCTCTCTCTCTCTCTGTCTCTGTCATTCACTCTCCCTCTCCTTCCCTTCCACTATCTCTAAAAATCAATGGAAAAAATATCCTCTGTTGAGAATTAACAAAAGAAAAAGTAACTATGATTTGATATGTATTATATAAATATGTACTGAATTTGATTCAAATACCAATTAAGTTTTGTCATAGGAAATATATGATGCATAATATGTAATAAAAACAATAAACAGTCTACAATAACATTCTAAGAACTAGTTCAGGTAATCCAATTTTATTACTTTATTGTATAAATGAATATAATTATTATTATCAAAGAATATTTTCAAACATTATGTCTTCTGGTGATACATTGCAGATGTACCCTATTTAAGTACCCTAGAGTTAATGTTGAGAAATATTTTGAGACACTGAACACGTTCATTTCAGTGTTAGAGTAGTCAATAGAATTAAACACCTAATTTTCCTGCTCCTGTGCTATGCGAATAAAACCTGTTCCTACCCTTGGGTTGTGGGAAGATGAACATGTAAAAATGTGTACGAGAAGTGTTCTAGATGTTGCCATAGTTGTATATTCAAAGTATGGTGGATACAAAAAAAGAAGAAACAGACAATTCAATAACTTTTTTAGGCAAAGAATGAATTAGATCTGAATAATTTATAGTAAGCAGAATATTTTTAAAAGCATCAGGGTTGTCCTGGCTGGTTTGGCTCAGCGGTTAGAGCATCGGCCTGCGGTCCGGAGAGACCCAGGTTCGGTTCCCGCTAAGGGCACGGCCCTCGTTGGTCGTGCGGGTGGCAGCCACTCGATGTACCCCTTTCACATCGATGTTTCTCTCTCTTTCTCTCTTCCTCTCTCTCCCTCCCACTCAATCTGAACAAAAAATGGAAAAATGTCCTCAGGTAAGGATTAAAAAAAAAAAGCATCAGGGTTTTTTCAAGTATGCATATAATAGCAACTATCATTTATTTAGTGATTTTTAAATGCCAGGCATTGTTTTAAGAGTTTTAGATGGTGATCCTCATACCAGCTTTCTGAGGTGGGTACTCATATCATCCCATTTTACAGATGAAGACAGTGATGCTAGCAGAGGTTTAATAACGTGACCATGGCACAGACAGAGCCAGCCAGAACCCATGGCCTGCGTGGGCGGTATCAGGAAGCTGATGAAAACTGTTCCTAGAGGGAACCCTCCAATGACTATGGGGTGGGGAGGAAGGGAGAGACCATATGAAGCAGCCATCTGGACCATCATCTTCATCTGTTCTGTTTTTCCTAACACCCGCTCGGCACACCTATAGCATACCAAGCTTGACAGCACGCCGCAGGGCAGCCCTCACAAGCTCGGTGCGCATCAGGACCACCGGTGGGGAGTGGGAGTAGGAGTGGGAGATCCAGGTGTGGCAGTGCTCACAAGTCCCCAGGTGACTTTAGCAGAAGTATGCTTTGAAAAAGGTTTCAAACTCCAAGTTATGTCTCTTTTTTGGTATTCATACCATAGAGCTGAGTAAAATTTTCTTCTTCATTATGAAAATATGGCTTTCTGGTAGAATTACAATTAGTTTCAGACTGAGTTGGCTATTTGAAAAACAAGTCGAGCATTTCACATTTTCTAAAAAACACAATCTCCCCATTCTCCTGATTTAAAAATTTTCTACTTAAAAATCTTATTCTCCAACCCAACCCAGCGTTTATGAAAACGCAAGCAGTGAGTAATTACTGAGTTCACAGTCAGGTAGGTGGAAAGAACTAAGGCTCAGAGGGACCAGGTTCTAGCTCTCTGTGAACTTGAGCAAGCAGACTTCCTGATGCTTTCCACTGATACAAAAAGAGGCCTAAAGATAAATCAAAATTAGAAAGTGGTCTGAAATTAACAGTAGGTAAAGGTTAAAGGAGTTATTTTTTTGCACAAAAAACTAACCAGAAAAAACCCTAGTATTCTTCATTGTAGATACATAGTAACTCTACCTACAAACATAAGAGGAAATAAATATGGAAGTCATTTGACCCTTAGAAATATATCTATCATCACAAATTCCAGGGAATCTAGAATAAACCTTTAGGACACTATGGGGCCAGATTCAATGGGTTTATTCCAAACATTCCCAATCACACCACTGTAATTATACTAGGTTAGCTTTAGGAATCTTTTTTTTTTTTTTTAATGTACTTCCTATTCTTTTCCTATTTTGTTCAGCACAAAGCTTTAGGAGAAGAGAACCAGAGTGAACTATTAAAAGCCTACATACTACTTGGTACAAAGTGAATTTTGCTCAATAAATGAATGTTTCTTGAGCTGATTTATGTAACATGAGAACCAGACACTTTACTTTTGGTAGTTACCCTGATTTTTCTATTCACTTTTTTTTTTTAATTCCCACCCGAGGATATTTTTATATTTATTTTCAGACAGAATGGGAGGGAGGGAGAAAGAGGGAGAGAGGGAGAGAGGGAGGGAGAGAGACATCAGTGTGAGAGAGACACATTGACTGGTTGCCACCCGCACAACCCCAACCAGGTCCAGGGACAAACTGCAACCAAAGTACATGCCCTTGTCTGGAATTGAACCCAGACCTCTTTGGTCCACAGGCCGACACTCTAACCACGGAGATAACCGGCCAGGGCTATTCACCTTTGATTCTTTCAAATTTTGTTCTTTGGTCAGTTTTGTAAGAAATCATTCACTTAAGAGTTTCAAATTTATTATTATATATTTTGAGCATATTTCTTTAATAGTTTACCTGACTGCAAGTTTTCTTTTCTCAATTCAAACTACATTAATTTATATTATTTTAAAATTATTTGACAATAATTGTTATTTAAATTTTAATTATAATTGTCAAATTAAAATTACTATTATTTCAAAGTAAAATTTCTTGGTCTTTCTTTAAGAATTGAGTTCACCATAGAAATTTACACATTTACTCTTTAGCATTTCTCTAACTAGCTGTTTCTAACCTTTGTAGCGAGGGTGGTGAGAAAGGATGCTCTTTCCCAGCAGGTGTCACTATCCAACATGCAGCTCATTTGGGAGGTAAATAGGCCAAGCTGGTGACATACCTATTCCTCATATGCAGGGGTATTTAAGGCACAAGGGGCACATGCCAAGGTTTAGCAAACTGTTGTTACAGGAGGTTCAGTACTTCATCACTTCCCAAAATAAATATTGATCCATATATCAAATACTGATCCGTGCATACTGGGCCCCAGAATTTGAAAGATGAATACATTTAGTATTACATGCAATCTTTATTGGGGGGGGGGGGTTGCCTGTTTTCCTCTAACACAGCAGCTGCGGTTAGGTTTAAATAAGAGATTCAAAGGTCTCTAATTCTCTTCTGGGCTCTGGCACTGACATTTAATAAGGCACTGATGGTTGAGATGTCTTTCTTGCTTTTGTCTTCTCAAATCCATCCTTGGAACTATCTTCTGTCATAATACTACAGGCTCTAGAAGAATAACCCCCTGCTTGATTTAGGTTATGTACCTAAGGAGAAAGGTTTTTGTTTTTGTTTTTTTTTCTATTACCATTCCCATTTATCACAAAGAGAGCATTCTTG